ACATTCGAATACAAAAACGTTGCATTCGAATTTTAGGTGTGCATTAAGGAGGCAGCCTTATCAGCGGCGCATGAGATGCAATGACGATGTAAGTGTCGTTGCAGTATAATGTTTTTGTTAGCCTATCCAGTTGAAGCCACTAGATTAGGGATGTGCCGATATAAGTATCTGTACCGAACGGTTCACGGGGCAAATTCCAAATAGAAGTGTTCATCCCTATCCCCTTGGAGTGGGGACTTTGGAGTGAGCAGGGCACGTGCGTGCCATTATGTAGTCGTTTGGAATGCACTTGGCAAAGCCAGTGACATATGCTGCATTCACGCAATATCATAATTACCGTAACTTCGAGATGACAGCACGTGACGTTCTACTCTGAGCTGTTTTATGCTGGAATTATGCTTTTCTATGGCAACACTATCAACGCCTAAACAGAGCCTGCAGTGGTCAGGTGGTACAGTGGTCACGTGGTACAAGTCTTAGCTCTCAGAAAACTCCCAATTCACAAGTTGCAATTACAAGTTCTACCAGGACGTGAACACTTTTTACAAGTTGGAATCTCGTAATTACGGGAATCTGCTGATGGACACCGTGCTGCATTGTCACGGGAACATGCCAGCTGTAGATAATGAGGAAATTAACTCGCTCGCTTTGCCAAGTGCATTCCAAACGACTACATAATGGCACGCACGTGCCCTACTCATTGCAAAGTCCCCACTCCAAGGGGATAAGGATGATCACTTCCATTTCGAATTTGCCCCATGAACCGTTCGGTACCGATACTCGTATCGGCACATCCCCACACTAGATGCGGCGCTGCTGCGTTGTTCATTAAGAATATTGCGGGAAAAGAGAACATCAATGCGGAGAAGATCTTTTTTTACGTCAAAACTGAAACCAAGCCGTTCACAAAGAAAACATATTTTGTGCATTTTCTATAGGGACATCTATCACCGTTGCACTTGTGTGCACAAAAGAGCCGCATGTTTAGAAAGCCATGTAAAATTAATGCAAGTTTAACTTTGAAAAAACATATCTCGAGACTTTATAGCAGGGTTTTCTCCCCCATCCCACTGCAACTCATATTTTTAAATGAAAAATGTAATCTGTGTGATTGGCTTTCGGCCCTTTGTATTAAACTATGAATACATACATGATGCTGATTTGTTTATAGTTGTTTAAGCAACTTAATTAATTATAATTGGTTTATAAACATTATTTTAAACATTATGCACTTTTTTCACAGATAGTCATGTTATCTTATATGCTTTGAATAAACGTGCATTGGTCGATGCACCCTCTTGTGGCCTCAGGAGAGAAGCCAAAACTTTTCTTCACCCTAACTGAATATAATTCGAATTTTGATAATATTCAAGTACGAAATTCGAATTTAGTTTTTCATCTATTTTGACAGCCCTAGTGCACTGTACTTTGCTTGTTCGTGTTAGCGCCGCCTCGGAGCGCGTGCACAGAACACACCTGGGGAACAGTCTCTTTTTCGCAGTTAATGCGCTTTTAATAACTCTTTTTAAAATAAAGCATGTCCACAGTAGACTGCATTTTACGACAGTCACATTGCATGATTGGACTGATTTTAGGAGAGGCGAAAGCTTACCGCTTGAAATGATTGGAACAGCTTGCGGCACAAATCAAAACTGAAACTAAAATTTGATTCATCGCAGTACTACTGCTAGCTCCCGTTGAGTTGTTTTTTAAACGCGTCACCACGCATGGAAGACACATGATAGAGACGCGTGATATAATTTGACCAGCCACAGTCATCTAATAAGCATTCATTGCTGTAGATCTCTACGGTTCACTTGAAAAGTAGATCGTAGACGTCTTCAAGATCGTTCACAATATAAAATCGACAGATCGCCCACCCCTACTGTCAGGGCGTGGTGCCGAAGACACATACCGAGTTTCGTAACGATACGCCAATGCGTTCATAAAATATAGCATTTTACGACAAAATTCAAAATGGCCGACGCAAAAAATGGCTTACACGGGAAAATTGGGTTCGACTCGGCATGCCACACCAAATCTAAAGAGAGAGTTTTGTGATTTTTGGTCAAACCATTCAGAAGTTATAAGCAAAAATATACATTTTTCATATCTTCTGACCACTAGGTGGCCTACTTTTTCTAAGACGAGTTCGAAAAAGTAGGTTTTTCGAACTATTAATAATCGCGAAAAAACTAAACTTTTTAAATTGGTGTCCTTTTGACTGCGCATGAGCCAAGGATTCAGAGGGGAAAAAATAATTTTTCTTCTAGAGTTTACAGTTCAAAAGTTATTAGCATAAACATGAGTGCAACTTTGGACAGTTGGTGGCGCTAGAGGGATTGACTTAGAGACTCCAAATTTGCAATGGTGATAGATCAGACTGTCCTCTATCAGTGTGCCAAATTTCACAACTTTCCTGCAAGCGGTTCTATGGGCTGCCATAGACTTCCAGAGCAGAAGAAACGGAAGAAGAAGAATGCCAACGGATACAATAGGTGCCATCGCACCTTCGGTGCTTGGCCCCTAAATATTACTGTATGTTATTTGTGATTTTTCTTAATCCATTAGCACTTTATTCATCATTGCTTTTTATTTGGCCAGACTGGTCGCAGCTTGTCTGTGCGCAACACAGTGAGAAGACAGATGCAGAACAGCCAGTGGGAGCCTCAGATGAACTGGAATGCACAGTCTCAGTTCAATGGGATGAGATGCGGTGACAGTGACCCAGCCATGAATAAGGCAGGCAGCACAATTACCCAGCAGTCCAAAGTGAGGTCTACTACCGTGCGATATAACCGAGCAACTGGACAATCCATGAGACTCCAGGAGAATAACCAGCTGGCTCAATCACAGACAATCATCAAACCTTCTCTCAGCCAATCACAGACAGTGAGGAAAGTCACCGCGACCAAGAGCAAATCAGCAGCACTGGGGTGAGTGTGCTGCATCTGGGCTGCGTCTCGATCTAGTTTACTTACTGTATATTATGCGCTAATAGTATTATGTAAAAGCACATTAGATGCTTGACAGAACCATTGCATTCATGTTTTTTGTGTTTTTTTTAATGTGCCAGTATGAAATGTGAGTTCTGTTTTCGAAACATTCATTTTGCAGATGCCTCGCATCCTCTAAATGCTAGTGTGCTTCTAAAAAAATATTTTTTAGCAAATACACATTTAAATAGTCTCTTTTTTTTTCTGTTTTTGTCATAGTTTTTTGACATAGTGTCATAGTGTGTCTGTTACTTGTTTCATGAACATTGTTCAGTGCGAGTGGTGCCGAGGGATCTGTGCCTAACATCACTCTGCAGGAGGCAGTGGAGTACCTGTCACACTCAGACATCAGCCATCAGCTCTGTGGAGCTTCATTCATACAGTACCAGACCTTCACTGAAGACCAAGCCAAACAAGAGGTCAGCAAACTAAAACAAGATTTCAGTCAGAATTAAACCTGTCTACTGATGCATGTTGGGTAATTCTATTAGAAAGAGCCATAAAAACCACCAACCATTTTCATATTTGATTAAGCTCTCATAATTTGTTGACTATTCTGATAAAATGTCTTCTATCTATCCATCCATCCATCCATCCGTCTATCTATCTATCTATCTATCTATCCATCCATCCATCCATCCATCTGTCCGTCCGTCTGTCCGTCTTATCTATCCGTCCGTCCATCCATCCATTTGTCCGTCTATCTATCTATCCATCCATCCGTCTGTCCGTCTATCTATCCGTCCGTCCATCCATCCATTTGTCCGTCTATCTATCTATCCATCCATCCGTCCATCCATCCATCCATCCATCCATCCATCTGTCCGTCTATCCATCTGTCCATCCGTCCATCCATCTATCTATCTATCTATCTACCTATCTACCTATCTTGTTTTGTATCGCTGAAAGGTTTGGCGTTTGGGAGGGATTCCTGCTCTCATTCAGTTGCTGAAAAGCGACAATTCACAGCTGCACCAGACCGCCGCCGCTGCACTGCGCAACTTGGTTTTTAACGACAACAATAACAAGCTTGAAGTGGACAGTTGTGAAGGAATAGAGGCCATTCTGACCTTGCTCGGAAACACCAACGTTACAGAAACGCATCAACAACTCACTGGTAAGACGTGCCACTCTCATTCGACTCTTTCCTGTGCTTAATATGTTGTGTGTCATATGATCTCATCACATTGTATGTGAATGGTGTCCTTTATTGTTAAAATAAAAGAAAGTGACGTGAATTGGTTTTGTGTTCAATATTTACGTGTTTATCAAAAGCTGTTTAAAAAAAAATACAATATGAAATATGCAGTATGACCCTTTGATGTTCAGGTCTGTTGTGGAATCTGTCCTCGGCTGATAAACTGAAGACAGAGCTGATCAAGAACGCCCTGCCACTGCTTACAGAAACCATTGTGGTGCCGTACAGCGTTTGGACTGACATCAACACTAACAAACACATTGACCCCGAGGTCTTCTACAACACCACCGGCTGTTTAAGGTGTGTTACACTGTCAGAGAAACAGTCAAACTGACTGTTGAGTACAAGAACACAGAGCCGTTGTTCGCTGACGAGCTGCGCAAAAAATCGCGCGAATATGAACGTGGTTTTGCGCAGCTCGTCAGTGAACAACGGCTCTGTGTAGTTAATGCTGCTCAATGTGAAAGCACGCAGGTGATGGAGATTTACCGCTGATTACAGAACCGGCTTTTCTGACAAGATGCGCGTTAAATATCGCATGCGATTTATCGTGCAGCCCTACACACAATGCATGACAGTGAGTTAATAAGACACTACACATTAGATCGTGCAGTGATCATGTTTGTGACCAATATTATTAGAGACACGCTAACATTTACGACACAGTTTAAAAACGCCATGAAAACTTTCAGAAATGAAAGTAATCACTACATTAACTATGGCCTCGTTCACATTGTCAGTTTTAGGGATTGACAACCGCATTTCCTTACAGGGTTGAGTCTCGAAATGTCCCGTTCAAACAGCAGCTTACAGTAGTGTCTTGAATACAAGCCCGTATATGCACTCACGTCCTGACACTGCATTTGAGTCACAGAACACAAGCACAGGCACAGAACACAAAACTGACGGAAACCGCTCCAGTGGAGAACAGTGACTGGATCTAGAACCTAGATGACACACAGCTCATTACTCCATCGCTGTAACTTACCCAGAGTGAAACCACACATGAGCGGAGAGCTGATCAAGAACGCCCTGCCACTGCTTACAGAAACCATTGTGGTGCCGTACAGCGTTTGGACTGACATCAACACTAACAAACACATTGACCCCGAGGTCTTCTACAACACCACCGGCTGTTTAAGGTGTGTTACACTGTCAGAGAAACAGTCAAACTGACTGTTGAGTACAAGAACACAGTGACATCGATCCAAAAGGAATAAAACAATATTTTTAAGCAAAATGCATTCATTGAGATACTTGCTGGTTTCACTTAAAGTCATAGTTCATTCTAAAATGAAATTTCTGTCATAATTTAGGCACCCTTATGTCATTCCAAGCTCATATGTTTTTTTGTTTTTTTTTCATGGAACACACACAAAAAAAGAATTTTTACATTATTTGTCAAGATTCCTTTCAGAAAACTCAAAATAAAAGTAACAATTATAGATATTAATTATTATTATTTATATATAATTATAATTAATAATTATATATATTAACAATTATATAAGAAAAGCACTATAAAAGTAACAATTAGTACTATATTCCAAGTTGACAGCTTATATCATTCCACAGAAAAATAACATTACACGGTTTTAAATGACATGAGGGCGAGTAAATAACTCTTACTTTGTCAAATTCATAACCATGTATACACCTTATTGCTTGCTTAGTACCTTGATAAAAATCAGGGCCCGTATTCATGAACATTCTTAGTGCAAAAAGTTGCTCCTAGTGACAAAATTCTAAGAAATGTGGGCGTTTCCTCTTAAAATGAAAGAAGAGATCCTTGTAAAGAAGAAAGTCATTCAGAAAGCATCTTAACCCTTAAAAGAGCTCTTAAGGTCCACCAAAACTGACGGAAACCGCTCCAGTGGAGAACAGTGACTGGATCTAGAACCTAGATGACACACAGCTCATTTCTCCATCGCTGTAACTTACCCAGAGTGAAACCACACATGAGCGGCTCTCTCGCACTGTACTACAACTAGTTGTCCAGTTCACACAGCGCGTGTTTTCTGAGAATGCAGTTGTGAGTCCTGAAAATAGACGGGTGTGAGTTCGGTAATAGATTGCGGTTGTCACCCCTGTAAATAACTGTATTGTGTGAACGAAACCATGTTAAGGACTCAAATACAGGACTGACAACCGTATTCTGCTGCGGTGTGACCGTGGCTTTACATTAACATATTTGGCAACTGGAAAAATGCAACTTTGCAGCAATGATGATTTGGGTCTGTCATAACCTTCTACAAGCAAAGTGATCACACAAACAATTACAGCACTTTCAGAACCTTATTGTGTCGCTGATCGTTTCCTATTAAATACCTTAAGTACAACATTAACAGCATGGTAAATTGAAAAGTAAGAATATATATGTACATATATATATATAATGTGTTTGCGAGAGAGAGTACGGTAAAACAGGAAGGCTTATAAAAAACCCTAAAGCACTCTTTTATTTTTATTTTTATTTTCTCCTTCTTGGACAACCAACCAATCACAGTCTTCAAACATCTTCAGACTCCTCACTAAGATGAAAGTTTTTGTCTTTTCCTCACTTAAAGTTGCTCTCAGATTTGTCCTGAATCGCTCTTAGGCTAAGACTCTAGGCTAAGGCTAAATTAAGAGCTTTCTGAGAGGATTCTTTAAGAATACGGGCCCAGAAGTCTATGCACATTTCTACTTTCACTTTCTTGTATTGTGGCCTATTATGCCGGTAGTGCTATTTTCAGGCTCAGTGGGTTGTTTTTGGCAAGAAAAAGTGAAATATGCCCCAGTATTCAAGCACAATAGTCATTTTTGACTATTTATGACTATTTATCAAATGTCATCTTTAACACCCAATAATCCCTCACACGGGCAATGGGTTAGAAACACTAAACCACCTGAGTGACGCCTTATAATTCATCTTTTGATACGTTCAAGTTTTCATACCAGCGTTGCAAATTGTTTGTTATCAGAGGCATATCACGAGATGTTGACGTACTCAGGTTGGACAGACAGAGGACTGTTACACCACAGATTGGCACACGTTTAATCGTCGTGCTGTTTTACAGAAGTAATGTCGGTTTTAATGTTAAGTTTTGGTTGTGCTCTCGCAGAAACCTCAGCTGTGCTGGAGAGGAGGAGAGGATATCAATGAGGAGCTGCCCGCAACTTATCGACTCTCTCGTGACTTACGTTCAGACTCAAATGGATACAGGCGAGCCAGATGACAAGGTTATCATGCTTTCATTTATGCTGCATGATCTCCAAGCTCTTACTACGGTTGCCGAGAAGTGCAAAGCAAATCACAATTCTGAAAACAAAATAACAAATTACAAACGCAAATGCAAGTCTAAAAAACTAAATAACAATTCAGGGTTTGTCTGATTTGTCATTGTGTTTTCTGACTTGTTATAATGTTTTCTGAATTGTTGTTGTGCTTTCTGAATTGTTATTTTGTTTTTTAGACTTGCATTTGCGTTTGTAATGTGTTATTTTGTTTTCAGAATTGTGATTTGCTTTGCACTTCTCGGCCACCGTATCTTACACTACATGGAAAAATACATGGACACTGAAACAGACGCCCCAAAGTTAGAAGCACAAAGTTCTCTAAAAATGATTTACTCTGAAATTATTAAATATACATGTAAAATGATATTGTATGCTGTTGCATTAAGATGGAAATAAGGTGACTAACTAAACTTGTTTATTAAAAGAAGGGTGTCCACAAACTTTTGACCATGTGGTGTATATTTTAATAGAGCTGCTGCATATTGCCCACTCTTTGCTCTTTTCCAAAAGCCACCGGGTGGCGGTGAGCCCGGGTGCGAGGGCCCTTTCATCGCTGCTTGCAGCTTTAATTTAACATATTATTAAATAAGTTTGAATTTTTTAACCCCGTAAAGCCTGACATTAAATAATAGTCAGATTTTTTTTTTTTAAGTGGACCTTTATTGAAAATTTCCTTTGAACCTTTAGACAAAAAAGTCTGAATATTTTTTGTGGCATATAATATTTAATACATAAGGCTTTTATTGCTCATGTAGTATGATCTAGAATATGGAGCTCATACTTGAGGAGGACAAAACACCTCAATTTTATTCAGAGGCCCAGACTGAGCAAAAATGCATTTTAGTGCAGTTGCTGATATTTATATATGACCAAAAAAATGAAATTCTGATAGGTTGTAATGTAAACCAACAAGATTTTTATAACAGTATGAAATATTACTTACATAAAGTGCATATAAGTATCAGTTGTCACTCTATATATGTCTTAGTAAAATGAGATTTAAATGCTTAGTTTTATGATCAAAGCTCTGTACTTTTTATTGTGGGGGGCAAAACACATAATGCAAATCAATACAACAATGATTGAGAGATGAACAAATAAACATTCCTTAAAAGCCTGATGATCTTATTGGATACTCACATTTTAAAAGTTGCTTTAGTACAGTAAATCTTTGTCTTAAAATATTTGCTAACATACTTGATAAAAACCATTAATGATTTCTCAGCAAAAAGACACGAACCATAAACTGAAGGTGGACGTTTGTACAGCTATATTAAAAGACCTTATACTAAAATGTATAAACGATCAATAAGACATCAGAAGATTGTCTGCAACTCTTTGATCATGCTGGAAATGTGTAGGCTCTAGAAATTCACATACCAGATGTGATACATTGGGCTTTATAGGGTTAAACATATTCAGAGAGTTTTAACGTCTACAAGAATACTTCAGTATATTGACAAAAATGTACTGCAACAAGCTAAAAGTGACTTCTGTGTCCTGGTTCTGTTTGTTTTGACGATGTGGGAACAGTCGGTGGAAAACTGTGTCTGCATACTTCATAACTTGAGCTACCAGCTGGAGAAAGAGGCTTCTGATCACTTCACACAGTTCTCTGTTCTTGATGAGAGACTGAACGAGAACAATAAGAAAAAGAGCCTCTTCAGCCCCAAGAGCTCCAAGACCCAAAAGGTACGAGCTGCTCCTAATATAACAACTAGCGTTCGGGATGTTTTGGATACTGCTTATGGGATGCTGACTTAACTTAAAGGGGTCATATGATGCTTAAATAAAACTCATTATTCCATTACAAACGCATATGACTTTCTGTATTCTGTGGAACACAATAGGAAAATATTAAGCTCCTGGAGATTTCAAGCTTTGAAAAGTGTTTATTGAAAAGTTAACTATATATATATATATATTTCAAATAAATGCTGTTCTACAAAAATATTAAGCAGCACAACTGTTTTCAGCATTGATAATAATTAGAAATATTTCATCAGCAGCAAATAAGCATATCATATAATGATTTCTGAAGGATCATGTGACACACTGAAGACTGGAGTAATGATGCTGAAAATTCAGCTTTGATCACAGGAAAAAAAATTACATTTTAAAATATACTCAAATAGAATATTTCTAATATTTCGCAATAATACTGCTTTTAATGTATTTTTGATCAAATAAATGCAGCTTTGGTGAGCAGAGCTGGTAAACATTTTAAATGTATTTAGGTAAGATGCTTTTGTGTGAGCATTTGGGGAAATATTTATGCTTTTACTTCTGTATTTATGAATTGTGTTTTGAATTTACGAATCGGATTTTGTAAATGTAAATTGTGCTGTGCATTTATGAATTTTGTTTTATAAATGTATTATTTTTGAGGCCGATCTGGCTCCATACTGAGGAGACTTATTTCAAAAACATAAAACCTTTCCAACCCCAAACCTTTGAATGGTAATAGTTGAAATAAAAATGTCCTTCTATGTTTCGCTGAAAAAGGAAAGTCATACAGGTTTGTAAAGGCATGAATTTTCAGTTTTGGGTGAAATCATTCTCCAGCCAGCAGTACTTTTTGGTCATTTCCATGCACCAAACCAGCAATGGACCAACACGGAAATTCATACCATTCATAATACAGCTGGCCTTTTCAGCAGGTTTTATTCTATATTAACCACACAGACAACTCAAAACTGCGTGTTTCAAAGCCATCTTCAGTACATTCACACCATACCTTTTTGTTATCAGGACTTCAACTTCCCAGCCATGGAGAAGGAAAATCCTGAAGGAGTGAATTGGTTGTACCACCAGAAGTCCCTGCAGCTGTATCTGTCACTGCTGGGCTGCAGTCAGAATGAGGCCACTCTTGAGGCGTGCTGTGGAGCCCTGCAGAACCTGACCGCTTCAAAGAGCCCTGTATGTACACTTGCTAGAAATACACGTGCAGCTGAACTCCAGGACAAGTTGTTCAACTTGTATTTTGACCTCTGCACAGTTGTCCACTCTGATGAGTCAAAGCATCATAGAGAAGCTGCAAGGCCTGTCTGTCATTTCACACCTGCTGAAAGCAGCAAACCCAGGCCTACAGAAGACCACCATGTCCTTAGTGGGCAACATGTCCCGGGTGTCATCTCTGCGGGGAACTATGGGTAAGAGTCTTTTTTAACACTACTAAAGATGAACTATGAAAGAGTGATGTCAGTTCTGTGCTGTAGTTTGCGTGTGCCTGTTAAGCAACGTCTGCACAAGCACAGGAACCCACAAGAACATGTAGTTCAAGGAGAGTGTGCTCTACAATGAGTCTCTTGAACCTCTGCTTGCTGCAGGTGCTTTTGTTTCTCATTCTCTCAATAGCAAGTCTGATACCCCAGAGGCAGTAAAAATAGCAAAATCTCTTACCCAGTGCAATTTCTGAACATGACTTTACTAAAACCGTGTTTACTAATTAGGCCATCTGATATGACACCTATATATATGGTATCTCATACTTCACATATATGCAAGTGTGATATATATAATTAATATCAAAGCCAGATACCTAAAACATGTCATGTTAGTGTGATATTATTTTTATAAAACATTTATGAATGTATGCATGCACGTATGTATTTAATTGTTTGTTTTACAAGATGTAACATTTTATTTATTAATTTATTAAATATTCAAATTTCAATTACCCTAAAATACATCAAGTGTGTTACTGCTTTTTTTTTTTTTTACGTTTTATTTGTTTGTTTAATATTTATTCGATATTGATTTTATTTCATTTTAATATTTATTAAATTATTGTTACATATGTTAAAATTGATCATATTGTATGTATAAAAGAAATACAGAAATATTAAAAAGTGCAAGTAATTAATTTTTAAAAAAGGCCAGTTACTTATGTTTTCCTCCTCCAGTGAAAAAAGAAAAGAAAAGCCAAAGCATCAAGCATGCAGGTCAACAAGGATCATACAGAATGAAATATTACATTTACGTTTACATGGAATCATTTAGCAGACGCCTTTATCCAAAGCAACTTACAAATGCGGCGAACAATAGATGCAATCAAATATTACTGTACACAGTACACTGTACCATACTTGAACATTAAACGTTGCAGCATTTCATTAATCCCTGATGTTCTTGTCAACCACAGCCAAGGAAATTATTCCCATGGCCAGTTCTGTTCTCTTGAGTGTGACGCCGAACATGTTCGAGTCTGACAGCACCATCGCTACAGCGTGCCGTGTGATGCAAACGCTCATGCTGGCAGAGCCCGACAGTAGCAAGAAGATGATCAACGTGAAACTCATCGACTCTCTGAGCGCGCTGAGCTCAAATATGTAAGTATTTTCAAAGTAAAATGCATGTGTTAAAGAGAAAATGTGGCATTAGCAAACATTAGCAAGCTGTTGTTTGGAGTTTAGAGGGAAGGAAACCTACAGACGACTCAATGACAAGTTTTGTGATAGTCACCCATGTATGACAGTTACTCTGTAAGAATTTGATGTGTATTAGCAGATACCATGCTGAGAAGATCTGTTTTTTGCAGGTTATTCGAGACAGGCAGAAAAGCTGCTGGAGTTCTTCTCTGGAGTATGTGGGGGCATAAAGACATCCAGAATGTGCTGAAAAAGGTAAGACTGTTCTGCCTCGATCTACACTGAGGCCGTAAAGCCAGCCTTTCAAGGTCAGTGGAATAGACGGCACAGCTTTGAAAGTCTTTTATTGAATTAAACGGTTACAAAAATATTAGAAAATTTAGGACATGTATATAGAACTGTCGTACGCGCATTAATTCACGAGAACCAAGTTTACAGGAGCAAAGGAAGCAAAATGTTCTTTGTGTAGCAAAGGAAAACCAGTCTCCTCTTGGCTTATATCGAAATCCTCAAACATTTTTCTTTACATATCCTCGTTTTGTACTTCTAATTCGTGACCAGTGTTTTATTTTGCTCTCTCTCTCGGTTTAGATAAAATATTTACAAAAATGTGAGGGGTGTACTCACTTCTGTGAGATACTGTATATATTTATGTATGTAAAGTTTAGGGACCACTTTAGTTCTGGGACCAATTCTCCTTATTAACTAGTTGTTTATTAGCATGCGTATTACTAGCATATTGGCTGTTTATTTTTTTCTCATAAAGCAAAGCACACCTCGCTTTTCAGAATGATGAGCTTTGTAAAAATCGACGCGTTTCAAAAAGGCGGGGCATAGAGGAGAAACAATAATGTACAGTATGTGGAAAATAATGTTTTTGTTTTTTTTTACTTTAAACCGCATAAACACATTTCATTACACCAAATACACAAAATAATGTTCTTTTTAGCAGCATCATATGACCCCTTTAATAATAGTGAGAATCGGTCCCCAAACCAATTTCATTTTGGTACTCAAACATGTTCTTGGCAGATTTGTAAGATTCGCCTGTTCAATTAAATTAAATTGGAACTGTATTGTTAGGATAAAACAACATACCTAAGAAACGTTTGTTCAAAGTGGTAAATCACAAGATGCTGTTAATGATATCAGAGGAAGAGTGAAGGTATATTTTCATGAATATTTCCTAATTCTGAAAGGGTGTAAGATGGGAGGGCAAAGAAAAAGGAAGCAACATCTGGTTTTAAGAAAGAAGGGTGTGGTAAGGTGTGTACACACACATGTGGCGCTTTTACCTCAATGCAGGAAAAAAAATATATAAGAAAAAGAAAATCCCCAGGCTGCGATCCATCCTTCTGTCTGTATGGTAGTTTACACATCAAACAAGACGCTCACTTGCTTGTGTGAATATTCACACACACACACACACACACACACTTCCAGGCCCTGACATGTACTCCACCCAACCTTGGAAGAGGTTCAACGGGATAAGAGAGGAATCCAGGGAGACGATTTATGAGCTCTTTCTGGGCGGAGCAAACGCCTTTCACACAACACACTCCTCCCAATGTGACCCTCCGACACCCACTCACACACACACACACTCTCACTCGTATGCTGGAACATACAAACACATTCGAACATACAGTATACCACATGCTCATGGACTATAATTATAATCCACATTGTGTATATTGGCATTTCAGCAGCCATGTTTTTGATCACACGATGCTGATTTAGATCTTTAGGCTTACATCGCAATAAAGCTGTCTGGATCCATGTTAATCTGAGTTTTTAAGCAAAAGCAGCCGTTGAGAAGCAGGTCATTTTATCATTCGTTTGTATTTCAGTAGCATGAGGTTGTGTAGCTCCGCCCACACTGACATCTCATTGGTCCAAAACTTATATTAGAAACTTACATATAACATCTTATATTAGAGATTTTTAAATGTATCAGTATATAATTTAATTGATACTGGCTATTTAATTTTGCTAATTTCCCTGATTTTTATGTTTAAATGAGCTTTGTCATCATCTAGTGCTCACTTAAATGTAATCTTAAAAACCCTAATAATTTAATAACCCTGTGAAATGTAGCAAATCTTAAAATGAATATCCATTTTTCATACTTTAAATTATAATGTTGTGATGCATAAATTTGCATTTATAGATATTTGTAATAACAGGAGAATAATAATTTTTTAGTAATATAATATTCATATATATTATTATATTTATATTAGAATTATACCCAGTGACAGAAGAAAATGCAAACATGACCCAGATGTTTTCTGGTACAGCAACAGAAAAAAAAAATAATAATCTTAAACTTGTGTTTATGTAAAGTTCTTTGATATTAAAGTTCATTAGAGTATTTGAACATATTTTTCTATTCCTTTGCAGATTGTAAGTTAAATGATGCATTTTGAATACTTAATTTTGTAATTAAAACTTTTGACATTTGACTATTTTTTATTTTATTTTATGCATTAAATATACATTAAAGCTGATGCATATATAATTTGACAAATCTCAATTCCTATTTTCTGAAAGAAAAAAAAACATGGAAAGTTTTTATTGATGTTTTTGAACTGAGCATCATCAAGTTAGGAAATAAATAAATATTATTTAATAAATGACAAATAATTATTTTGCAGATCAGCAGAAGATGCCAAATATATTGATATATGTGATTGACTGTAATTTAATTTGACTAATCAGCATTTCATGTTGTTGATGCAATTCTGAATTTTTTTAACCTATTGACAGCAGGACAGTCAAACAGTTTATGCAGTTGTTGTTGTGAATATTAAGTTCGTCTGATGTTCCATTCCTGCACCTCAGTCAGTCAGTAGTGAAACATTCAGTTACGTCTGACTTTAGCACATGCTGAAGCTCAGGAGCTCAGACAGACATGCATGCATGAACACGTGATTATGAAGCAGTGATTCAGTGGAAAACCACGACATGCATTTGGTTCTGAGAGCTTTCACACTGTTAATTGTGATTGAGATGTGTGTGATTTTGAAAGGACAATGATGCTCTATTTATAGTTTTGACCTTTTATTCTTTTGCAGCAAGGGATGAAAAAGGACACGTTTATAAATGCCGTCACTGCTACAGCGTACAAGGATGCAACACGCATGAAAGGATACTGAGAGATGTGCAAGTGAGTGGAAAGATAGTTTGTTTTATTTTATTGCCTTGATTCTGAAACCTTTCATACTCCTACTTAATATGATTTTTTTTTGTATTTCAGTTTTGCAGTACTGCAGGAAGCCACAGAGTTTCAGAATACTGTCCTGCCTTCATACAGTGGAGATCAAAATTAGAGACCAATCTATAAATACTTGTTTTTTTCTGAAATATTGTTATCTTCATCGCTCAAAATTTGAAGGAATATTAGCTGTGGGTATTGCACTGCTAAACGAACATGTTTGACAAAATAACCAAGGCATTTCAACAACAAAAAACTTTATTTTGTTGAAAGCAGTGATCAAATACAGTAACCACTGTAGCACGAAAGAAGATTACAACTGTCAGAAATTAGTTGGAAGTGTAGAAGCCCCTGCTTTGAATGACTTCAGCACATCTGCGGCCAGGGCCGGATTTACCTCTTTTCGTGACATAGGCTAAACTAATTTTTGGGCCCCCCTTCCCTATTAATATGTTAGGCCTAATATTACCACCCAAGCAAACAAAAATATTTCTTAATCAGTGGAAACCGTTACAGTGTTTTCTATCGCAATAAGGGCTTGCGTTCAGTCAATAAAAATCGAATAGTTCTTAATTTGTTTGAGAACTGAGAAAGACCATTCCATTAATAGGCGCGGCGACGTGGCCACATAATAACCACTTCGGGAGTGCATTATTTCTCTAATAATTGTATTAGTACGGCCTGGAGTCACAACCACACATCAAGACATTGTTCAGATGATTTGTTTCAAGACATTTGACATGTTTCCGTCCTGAAATCTCGTGTGTTGAACTAATTTTTTACGCACCTCATCCCAAACCTTCCGTTGCAAATTCCAAAACGTCTAGATAATGGAGGCTTGAGCCATTGATATGCAGGCTAATGCAGTCTAATGCGGTTATTAGAGAAAGAGAGAGAGAGCGAAAGAGATAGAGGGAGAGAGAGAGATTAAGCGCGTGTGAATACTTGCTTCTGTGCATCTCTCAGCAGCGTTCCGCAGCAGCGTTTACTAATAACGAATCTTTCAGTTAAACTGCTTCAAGAACCTTGAGAAATGTCATGTAGCTTTTCAGCTGCGAAACTATTTTATTGATAAATTTGCGAGGCAGCGCTGACAAGAAGTTTCTGTTCGCGTCTCCGCGTGTGTGCGCGAGCAGAGCCGATCCTCCCTGTATGCAAAATACGCAAGCTGCATAGGGCCCCCGAAACACCAGGGGGCCCCCTTGCTCTCAAAGATGATTTAATTTTAGTTTCGTTTTTGAATTTGGCCAGCGGTCATGAAAACATGAATGATAATTTCTTTTGATGCGGTGCGCTGTCGCCCTTTCTACGTAAAAATCTGTTAAATCATGTAATGTGAATGTTGTACAGTCTGGCTCCAGACTAAAAAAACGAGTTGAAAGCATACTGAGCCGCGGAGTAGACACTGTTTCTCAAGCGCTTTCCGAGAGCGCGATTCGAGACGGAGTGAAACACAGACAAATGCGTTTCATTCATTCGTTCATAACCATTCATACCCCACTTCAATAAGAGTCTCATCTCCCATTCCCTTTAAGAGCCAGTTGCGCTCGTGCCATGGCGTATTTTCTATTTACACAGTGGAATTTGCAAGTGCAAAGACAGTCTCCAGAGAGGAAACGGAGCTGCTCGTGCGCGAGCAAATAGGTAGCCTAATTCTGATACATGCAATGACTATCCATTATGACGTGTGCATTTTTACATTTATGTAGCCTACACAATAATAATCTTTTACATTGCAATCCT